CGGCGTCAATTTGACCTGGTGCCCGAAAGGACAAGATTACCTACCTGAACGGCCTCGCCGAAAAGGCTGAGAAAGCAGCAACAGACGGGCACTTGAGGATTGTACACCAGACTACAAGAACTCTTTCAGGTAGGTTCAGCAAGCCCACTCTACCAGTGAAAGACAAAGAGGGAAAGACTATCCTCAACCAAGAGGGGCAACTGAACCGATGGAGAGAACACTTTGATTAACTCTTGAACAGACCACCTCCAGAAAACCAACCAGACATTCTTCCAGCTAGAATTGACCTTCCAAAAGTTACGGAACCACCTTCAAGAGAGGAAACTGCTGCAGATATAAAAACACTGAAGTCCCACAAGGCAGCTGGTCCCGACCATATACCACCAGAAGCCCTTAAGGCAGCTAAAGATACATCAGGGGAAATTCTTTATGCTCTATTCGAAAAAGTTTGGCAAAAGGAGGAAATGCCATCAGACTGGAAGGAAGGCCACCTAATCAAGCTGCCAAAGAAAGGAGACCTCAGTAATTGTAACAACTACAGATGTATTTACACTCCTGTCCATACCTGGGAAAGTCTTTAACAGGATACTCCTGGAGAGAATCAAGCTGGCAACAGACGAGAAGCTCCGAGGAAACCAGGCAGGATTCAACCGATCATGTGTGGACCAGATCGCTACTCTACGTATCATTGTTGAGCAATCGCTTGAATGGAATTCACCACTCGTGGTCAACTTCATTGACTATGAAAAGGCGTTTGACAGCGTGGACAGGGAAACTTTGTGGAAACTCATGCGGCATTTTGGAATACCTGAGAAAATCGTCAAGCTCGTGAAGGCCACCTATGATGGAACAAGCTGCCAAGTCTTCCACGAAGGAAAACTCTCAGATCCATTCCAGGTACAGACAGGAGTGCGACAAGGATGCCTGCTCTCACCTTTCCTCTTCATACTGGCAATTGACTGGGTCATGAAAGAAGCCACCAGAGGCAAACGTAATGGAATACTGTAGTGGATCCCTTGGCAGCAGCTGGACGACTTGGACTTCGCCGATGACCTTGCACTGCTCTCTCACACACATGCTCAGATGCAAGAAAAGACCAAGGAACTCAACAGCCTATCCAGGAGTGTTGGCCTACGTATACATCTGAGCAAGTCGAAAGTAGTGAAGCTAGGAAAAGTTTCAAGCCCTGCTGTGACAGTGGAAGACACTCCCCTGGGAGAAGTGGACTCCT